AAGACGAACTTAGGACGACTTTTCGTGTTTTTACACGGGAGGCTGCAGTAATAGGTCTGGCGCCCTTGTTAATGACCCCAACATGATATTATAGTGCAAACTGTACCTGTAAGCTAAATCAACCACCAGTAGGATGCAGTATTGCACCACAGGAGAGGTCATAAGTCAGTGGAGAGAAGGAGGAGGAGTTGGGGTCATTTGGAGATCGTGCTGCGTAGCTGAGGCGATGATAGCGTACTGTAGCATTGAGGACGGATCCGATCTAGTTTATCGATAGTGTTTAGCAGAAGTGATGGCCAAAAAAGATAGTTATAAGCAGTATATCACTGCTTCAGAGATTGACTGCGGATTCAGTGAGTTAGGATGAGAGGGGAGAGAGGGGAGACCCGGTGGAGGTCCGTATCTGCAGCCATATTTGCGCGAGCAAGAGCCCCGAAGCAGAGACACACCTTCCGCTCTCGAGCGTATCAGCTGCCTGTTGTTACTGATTGCCTCGGATTCGTTCAGCAACCTGATCATGATTTATCGGACACACTCACAAACACTCACACGGGCACTCACTCATTCACTCCACGCACACAGACACTCACCGCACACTGACACTCACACACACAGACACTCAATCGCACAGGCACTCACTCGCACACTGGACACTCACTCACACAGACACTCGCTCGCACACTGACTCACACACACACACTCAAATTCACATGCTTCCTTTCTATTTTATACATCTATAGGTTTTTTTAATGATCTTTGTGTTGTTGTTTGTTTGACGTTTTGGTTGATGGTATAGAAGAAAGTATAAATTTTTAGCTGTGAATAAATTGCCAACAATTTGCCATCAAAAGTATATTTCAGAGTCATGTTTATATAATTATAGTAATGGAAACAAGTGTGGAAGATGTTTTGAGTTGTCACTAAGCAGCAAAAATGCATCTAAAGTCTTTTTCTGCTGATATGTTCTGTTTACATCAGCTCGATTCCTCTTGTTTTCTTGCTCAGACCAGGTGTTATGGGTGAAAGTAGGCTTTGTTTTGGCGAATAACTCAAGAACGTAAAGAGGTAGAACAAAACTGTTTTTTCAGAGTAAAGAGGAGAGGTGAATCTTAATTTGGTGCCTTGGGTGTGTACATCGTCTAAAAAATTGAATATTCTGTGGGCACTTCAAAGTTGGGTCAAATCACCTGAAATTGCTGGCAGAATGCACTTCCTTCAAGTCTGGTAAATGCCTGGTCAGTCAGTGAGTTAAGGTCAACGACCCACAAACATTTCCCTTTGTTTTCTATCCCCGCCTTCACTACTGGGGGTTCCTCATTTGTACCAAAGGAACACCACTCTGCAGGCATGATTTACCGAACAGTCGCAGGCATGATAAGATCGGCGATGAAGACTATTCCTCTCACACCCACTGTAGCCAGATCAAGAGTCCCCCTATCTAACATTCAAAACTACTCCCCATCACGTACCTCCAAAGCCACCTAGGCGTCCAACTCAAATTCTCCCACAAAATCCACCCGTCCCTCCTCTAACCCCATAAGGATTATCCACCCCCCCCCCGCTCCCTGCTCATTTAGCCCACCTCCCCCCCCTAACTCAAGCACCAAGAAACCCTCCACCTCCACTCCCCCCTCGTCCACCACCCAACTCAGCCTGCCCCTCCCCTAACCCACTCACCAAAATCCCATCCACCTCCCTGCCCCCCTCGTTCCAACACCCAAAAGCCACCCACCTCTCCATTCTCGCTCCCCCGCCTTCCCCTACCCCTCTTTCTCTAAACACTAGGATGCACAGGGTCTCTGCTTCGCAGCCACTGGCAGTCTAGTTAGAGGAGAGACCCGGCTGGGGCCCTGTCATGAAGCCACCTGTGCCATTCCCTTAGTGATAACACCAAAGAATACATTACAGAAAAACATCTGGAGTTAATCAGTCTAATCTGGAAAATCTAATTCTTGTTCCGTGTAAGAATCAGCCGACCGCAACCGCTGATACTGAAACTTTGAAACTTGCTACGCTTCATGTCAGATCTCTTTGTAACAAGTCTTTTTTAATCAATAATTTTATTTTTCTCATAATCTTGATCTTATGTTCATGGCTGAAACTTGGCTTGACCAAAATTCAGAAAATCAGTTTTAATAGAAGCATCACCACCAAATTTCAAGTTTGAATCTGAAATACGGGAAAACAAAAAAGGAGGAGGCTTAGCTGCCATTTTTAGAGACCACTTTGTCTCCCATAGAATGTCTCTTGGGAAGTTTTCGTCATTTGAATATGTGTCTTTTAAAATACAACAAAAACAATCTCCTCCAATACTCCCTTCGTTTGTCCTATACAAGCCACCGCAGTCATGTCACAGTTTTATTGATCATTTTACCGAGTTGCTTTCAGTTGTATGCACAGATTTTGATAGTTTGGTTATTACAGGTGATTTTAATATTCATGTGGATAATGTTGATGACAGAAATGCAAATGAGCTGAGTTCTGTACTTGAATCCTTTGATCTCACTCAGCACGTAAGTGGCCCCACCCACAGCAGAGGGCACACTCTAGATCTGTTAGTTACAAAGGGGGTGATTATTTCAAATGTAAACGTGGTCGATGTTGCTCTTTCGGATCATTTCTGTGTTTTTTTTGACATGTGTTTCACTAACAAACCACCAGTGGCACTCTGCAACTGTTCGAAGAAGGCGCATAAATGAAAATACGAGTGAACTATTTATGGAAATGATAAACTTGAGAATGCATCGTATTCTACTGTAGATGAACTGTTTAACTCTGTCACCTCTAGTGTTTTGAATGTTCTGGATACCGTTGCCCCTGTGAAGGTTAAAATAGTGAAAAATAAGCAGAAGGCGCCGTGGGCTAAAGCAGACTCGGTCAGGGCACAAAAGAGAAAGTGCCGGAGGGCCGAGGCGCGGAAGTGGCGCAAGTCCAACCTCCAGGTAGATTACGAGATCTTCAAAGATAAGTTGTGCGAGTTTAACCGGGTGCTACGTAGTACGAGAGAAAGGTATTTTTCTGAAATGATTGAAGGCTGCAGCAACAATCTGCGTGTTCTGTTCTCAACAGTTAATAGATTAACAAACCCCCCTGTTCAAATGCCATTAGAGCTACTTCCAAACGTAAATGCAATGAGTTTGCTAATTTTTTCAATGACAAGGTTCAAGGCATCAAAAGCGCCATTGTCTCCAATCCACAGATAACCATCCAACAGCCAGAAAGGCTCTTTGAGCTAACTCACTTTGCAACCTGTAAATGATAAAACTGTCCAAGAGATAATCTCCAGTTTGAGCTCCTCCACATGCAGCCTGGATGTACTAACCCACTAGATTTCTGAAGTCTGTTCTGAGCAGTCTGTTACCTTCACTCACACAGATAGTAAACATGTCCCTTCATTCTGGAATATTCCCAAAGGCCCTGAAAACTGCAGTCATCAGGCCCCTGCTAAAAAAGAGCAGTCTCCGATGCCACGGTACTTAACAACTATCGTCCCCATCTCAAATCTGCCATTTATGGGGAAAGTCCTTGAGAAAGTTGTCTACCTACAGCTTACTAGATTTCTTATAATCAACAACTCAATTGATATGTTTCAGTCCGGCTTTAGACCCCACCACAGCACTGAGACTGCTCTCGTTAAGGTTACAAACGATATCCGGCTGAACACTGACGCAGGCAAAGTCTCAATCTTAATCTTGTTTAGATCTAAGTGCTGCCATTGACACCGTCGACCATGAGATCCTCTTACAGAGACTAGAGGACTGGGTTGGCGTCACTGGCACCGCCCTAAGTTGGTTTAGGTCTTACCTTGAAGACAGGAAGTACTTTGTGGTAGATTGGAAACTGTGTCTCAGATCATATGGCCCTGACCTGTGGAGTCCCACAGGGGTCGATCCTGGGACCTCTTCGTCCCAAGAGGTAAACAGTTCTAGGATCCAGAAGAAGGTGGTGGGAGTGAGCGAGTGCCTACAGCGTGTCCTACCGCAGCAGACGTGAAGGCTGATCAAAACACACAAGTAACTGTAGGATGGCTGCTGGCAGTACTCTCACGGCAAGTCGCCAAAATAAGCAGTCTCCTAAGCCTGGCCCGTGTACAAAATATGCATGCATAAATATTCCCTTATCTACCAGGTGAATACATTAAATAACCATGGGTTGTTCATGACAGTAAAAGTTCATACTCATTTACGACATTAAACAGGTACCTTAACACAATTCATAGAGTGAGGCATACACTTATAGTTTAGCTGATTTAGCTTAATAAAAATCTCACATAGCAATAAATGCCAGCACTGGATAGCATTTTGCGCCAGTTAGCATTAGCATAACAATAACATTGCACTCACCGATTCCTTCTTCACACACACACACATATACGCAGCAAAGACAACTTTGCGGTCACATGAATCTGTAAAAGGTTCGGAGGACAACGTTTTAGGAACTGATCTTTGATTTGGCAGAGGTAGCGAGTTAGAGAGGTAAATGTTTACCTGTAGCAGCTCTTAATGCAGCATGTCCCACACACCTAACCACAAATGCTAAGCAGCGGCTATATTCAAAATGGCGGCGCGCAAATCTCAGACCCAAAGTCTCGCCCCAAGCCTCGCGAGACTTGACAAAACATTTTATTTCACAGGTAAAAACATGATTTTAAATGTAATGATATTTTAAATTACATGAACAATATCATTATACTTTTTAAAAAATATTTTAAGAATATCAAAATATATCTGGGTTACATGTGCATACAACTGAAGGATTGTATTGTGTTCACTATTTTAAACACACACAAAAAAAACCTGTCATTAGGTGAGATGAAGAGGGACCCAAAATTTGACAAATGCCAAAAATGATTTTATGAGATAATACACAAAAGTCCAAGGTAAAAACAAATAATAATTCCAAACAAATCTTAGGAACCAGGAAAACAGACGTACAACAACCAAAGTTAAAAAATAAAATCCACACCAGGACACAAACAATCTTGCCTTGCCTTGTCACTTCTAAGATTGAATCCAGTTAACTGCAAGGTAAAAGTACCACACATTATTTGCTCAGTCAGAGAATGATGACTGAACTAAAGGCTGCAGTGGACGGGCAGCAGCCCTCTAAACTTTGACAGGCCAGTGCTCGGGTCAGGGAGTTTGGTTAAGTGTACGTGGAGATTTCTTTTTTATTTGACAGTTATAATTTAGCCCAGACATGGGCAATTACACAGCCAGTCTATCTTTATAGAGCTCACACACAGTTTCAGCAGAGAGTGGCTCTTGCCTCAACTATAGAATGCCTACAGTGGCATGAGGGAAACTGGGATGTCAGCTTCATGTTCCCAAGGAAACACAGAGTTTAAACATACATGCGTGGTCATTGGTGTTATGTTGAGTGACAGTGTGATGTTGTGTAACAGTGTACTGTCTTCAGTTCACACACACCTTGTCCCAGCCGACCCCCAGAGAGGGCCTCTCGAGCCGTCCCAAAGCCCAGCTCTCTGCACACCACGTTGGCCGAGCTCAGGTCCCAGCGGTCGTCGCAGATCGTCCCCCACTCTCCGTTCTTCAGCACCTCCACACGGCCCTCCCCGACAATGGCCCCGCCCCTCAAACGCACCAGGGGCTGCTGATGACACACACAAACACACACACACCCCAGTGTTAGCTTTCCTGTATATACATTCTGATGGATTTTTCCCTCTCCATCTGCTCCTTCCCAATGTATATACATGTTTATTTATATAGAATTTAGGTGGTGACATCACTACACTAACTTACAGGTCATAGCTGCAGATAGAGGAGAGCTGTAGTAAAGGCTTTCTGGGGTCATGGGTGGGCTGACCTTTCCAAACATGTGCGAGAGCAATTATGTGTTTAGACAAAAAGTAAGTGCTGGGGGGCGCAAGTGAGCGTAGCCATGTGAAGCTGTTTTTTTTCCAAGCTCCTCCGCATGGTCTAGATTTTTACATTTTAATAACTCCAAAGTGGCCCCGAATCTACCCCAAAACTACCTAAGGTTGTAAGGACCAGAACCGATTCAGATTCCGATTTCATCTACTCAAATTTTGGAAACGGTGGGTGGATCATGAGCAAAAACAGAGGCCAGAGAGACCAGGCCGCAAAAGCCCCGGATCCGCCTGCGGCTGCTGCTTACCCGGACATGAATGTGCTAATGGAGGCTATTGCTAATTCAGAGAAGACAATACTGGAGCGAATTGATTCAAGCACGAAAGACCTGAACGACAAGATAGACACTATCAAAGAAGATATAGTGAAGCAGGACACCCGCTTGCAAGATGTTGAATCTGGTTTGTATGTCTACTCGGATCGCACAGAGCAATTGGAGGATGGTGTTAGCGTGCTGCGGGCGGAGGTAGCTCGGCTAGCTAACAAGCTAGATGACCTGGAGGGGCGTCAGCGCTGATGCAACGCACGCATCGTCGGGGTGAAAGAAGGCTTTGAAAACACCGGGAAGCCGACAGATTTTATTGCCACCATGTTAAAAGACGAACTGGGTCTCGGCTTCACCCCTATGCTGGACCGAGCCCACCGCGGCCTGCAGCGACCGGCCCAAGATGGAGACCCTCCCAGAGTGATCGTGGTAAAATTTCATTACTTCCAGGAGGAAGCAGAAGTGTTTAAAAAAGCTGCAAACTCGTCGACACTGAAACTACAGGGTTGGAGAATAAGCATTTTTCCTGACTACACGGCTGATGTGGCCAAAAAGAGAGCTGCTTTCAATGAGGCGACTGCTCCGTAGCTGTGCTGGTGTCAAGTTCGGGGTTCTGTCCCCAGCGGTCCTACAAGTCACTTCCTGCTTCTGGACAGAGCAGTCGCATTCTCTTGCTGCTCCTCGCTTGCTGCTTTTTTATCTCCTTTAATCATTTTTGCTTACATTTTTATTCCACAAAACACGGATTACTCCTTTTTACAAACTTCAACACAAGACTTGTGGAATTTACCTAACTTACAGCATGTCGGGAGGACGGGAAAGAACAAAACTTTGCGACGGCTGTTTTTCACTCAAACAGGAGCTAAAACTTCTTCAAGACCGAATGTTTGTGCTTGAATCAGAATTGGGGCTGAACACAACAATACCAGTGAAAGGAAATGGACCACATGGACAGAACGTAAGTTATGATGACGCTATTTCATTTCCCAAAATCAACAGAGACAATTGTTGGAACACATATGGTGCCAAGCCCAAACAAGGCAAAGCTAATGATAACAAGAGTGTCATAATGCCACAGCAAAAATCTTTAATTACAAGAAACCGCTTTTCACCACTTTTGGAAGATGAATCAGCAGCGCCTCCACCAAGGACAAACTGCGTCCTTATCGGAGATGGCTCGGTGAAAAATGTAAACATGGAGTCCATGCTCACTGTCTCAGTTCACTCTGCTAAAGTTGCTGAGATAAGAACTCTCCTGCCTAAAGTGTTATCTGAGAACAGTGGTGTGCGTACATTATTGATCCACACGGGGGCGGTAGATATCTATGAGAAGGCAAGCGAGAAGTTACGAATGGATTTAACGCTGTTACTGGATGACCTCAAGAAAATGGACATAACAATTTTTCTTAGTGGCCCACTGCCAAATATAGATGGAAAAATTGAGAAGTTTAGCCGTCTGTATCAGCTAAACACATTCCTACTCAATGAGTGTTCACGCAGAGGACTTGGCTTCATTGAAAACTTTAATCTGTTCTGGAATAGGCACGAGCTTTTTGAAGAAAAAGGCCCACATCTGAACAACTACGGAGTAAAAGTGCTGATGGATAACTTTGCATCTGCCCTAAGACCTCAGCCTGCGCAGCGCGTGCAGCCGTTGAAAGGGAGAAAGAAGAAGCAAAGGGCACAGACATCACGACCATCTCCACCGACTCCCGAGGTCTCTGCACCCCCACCGCCTCAAAAGAACTCCACACCTCCACGATTCAAGAAGAACTCAACACCTCCACGGCTTCGAAAGAGCTCAACGCCTCCACCCCCAGCATCATCAGCAGCTGCCACATCTTCATCAGCGCCATCAGCATATACAGCACCACCAGCAGCAGTGGATACAGCCGCAGCAGTGGCTGCTCCATCATCTTCAGCAGCAGCAGTGGCTGCTCCATCATCTTCAGCAGCAGCAGTGGATACAGCCGCAGCAGTGGCTGCTCCATCATCTTCAGCAGCAGCAGTGGCTGCTCCATCATCTTCACCAGTAGCAGTGGATACAGCAGCAGCAGTGGCTGCTCCATCATCTTCAGCAGCAGCAGTGGCTGCTCCGTCATCTTCAGCAGCACCTTCCCCACCTACAGCTCCCGTGAAGCTTCCCCCATTACTCCAGGCTACAGTCAGGCCTGTACTGGGGGTTCCTCAACCACCTCTGTCTCCACCAAAGACTCCCTCATCACCTTCCATGGACCCGGCTTGGGTCCCCCCCGCTACATCCACTCCATCTAGGGAAAATGAGGACGACCTTTCCCTTTGTTTTCTATCCCCGCCTTCACTACTGGATTTACCGGAACACTCTGCAGGCATGATAAGATCGGCGATGAAGACTATTCCTCTCACACCCACTGTAGCCAGATCAAGAGTCCTATCTAACATTCAAAACTACTCCCCATACGTACCTCCAAAGCCACCTAGGGCGTCCAACTCAAATTCTCCCACAACCACCGTCCCTCCTCTAACCCCATAAGTATTCCACCCCCCCCTCCTGCTCATTTAGCCCACCTCCCCCCCCTAACTCAGCACCAAGAAACCCTCCACCTCCACTCCCCCCTCGTCCACCACCCAACTCAGCCTGCCCCTCCCCTAACCCATCACCAAAAACCCATCCACCTCCCTGCCCCCCTCGTTCAACACCCAAAAGCCACCCACCTCTCCATCCTCCTCCCCCGCCTTCCCCTACCCCTCTTTTCTCTAAACACTAGGATGCACAGGGTCTCTGCTTCGCAGCCACTGGCAGTCTAGTTAGAGGAGAGACCCGGCTGGGGCCACTTTGTCTCCCATAGAATGTCTCTTGGGAAGTTTTCGTCATTTGAATATGTGTCTTTTAAAATACAACAAAAACAATCTCCTCCAATACTCTTCGTTGTCCTATACAAGCCACCGCAGTCATGTCACAGTTTTATTGATCATTTTACCGAGTTGCTTTCAGTTGTATGCACAGATTTTGATAGTTTGGTTATTACAGGTGATTTTAATATTCATGTGGATAATGTTGATGACAGAAATGCAAATGAGCTGAGTTCTGTACTTGAATCCTTTGATCTCACTCAGCACGTAAGTGGCCCCACCCACAGCAGAGGGCACACTCTAGATCTGTTAGTTACAAAGGGGGTGATTATTTCAAATGTAAACGTGGTCGATGTTGCTCTTTCGGATCATTTCTGTGTTTTTTTTGACATGTGTTTCACTAACAAACCACCAGTGGACTCTGCAACTGTTCGAAGAAGGCGCATAAATGAAAATACGAGTGAACTATTTATGGAAATGATAAACTTTGAGAATGCATCGTATTCTACTGTAGATGAACTGTTTAACTCTGTCACCTCTAGTGTTTTGAATGTTCTGGATACCGTTGCCCCTGTGAAGGTTAAAATAGTGAAAAATAAGCAGAAGGCGCCGTGGGCTAAAGCAGACTCGGTCAGGGCACAAAAGAGAAAGTGCCGGAGGGCCGAGCGGAAGTGGCGCAAGTCCAACCTCCAGGTAGATTACGAGATCTTCAAAGATAAGTTGTGCGAGTTTAACCGGGTGCTACGTAGTACGAGAGAAAGGTATTTTTCTGAAATGATTGAAGGCTGCAGCAAAAATCTGCGTGTTCTGTTCTCAACAGTTAATAGATTAACAAACCCCCCTGTTCAAATGCCATTAGAGCTTACTTCCAAACGTAAATGCAATGAGTTTGCTAATTTTTTCAATGACAAGGTTCAAGGCATCAAAAGCGCCATTGTCTCCAATCCACAGATAACCATCCAACAGCCAGAAAGGCTCTCTGAGCTAACTCACTTTGCACCTGTAAATGATAAAACTGTCCAAGAGATAATCTCCAGTTTGAGCTCCTCCACATGCAGCCTGGATGTACTACCCACTAGATTTCTGAAGTCTGTTCTGAGCAGTCTGTTACCTTCACTCACACAGATAGTAAACATGTCCCTTCATTCTGGAATATTCCCAAAGGCCCTGAAAACTGCAGTCATCAGGCCCCTGCTAAAAAAGAGCAGTCTGGATGCCACTGTACTTAACAACTATCGTCCCATCTCAAATCTGCCATTTATGGGGAAAGTCCTTGAGAAAGTTGTCTACCTACAGCTTACTAGATTTCTTATAATCAACAACTCATTTGATATGTTTCAGTCCGGCTTTAGACCCCACCACAGCACTGAGACTGCTCTCGTTAAGGTTACAAACGATATCCGGCTGAACACTGACGCAGGCAAAGTCTCAATCTTAATCTTGTTAGATCTAAGTGCTGCCTTTGACACCGTCGACCATGAGATCCTCTTACAGAGACTAGAGGACTGGGTTGGCGTCACTGGCACCGCCCTAAGTTGGTTTAGGTCTTACCTTGAAGACAGGAAGTACTTTGTGGAGATTGGAAACTGTGTCTCAGATCATATGGCCCTGACCTGTGGAGT